ATCATAGCTGTCTTCAGATGCGCCACTGTCCGCAAACTGAAACAATCAAGAGTTCATGTGTCTGAGAAGTGCAGGTGTGAAACGAAAATGCCGTCACTGACTGCATCACGAAATTACTACACGTCAGTTATCACTGAGATTGAACCAAACAATTGACGGCGGCACGTATGAGGTAAGAAGGTAAACAACCACCGACTGATTTCTCAAGAATAAGTCGAAATGAAACAACGCCATCATGAGTCGTCAGGGGATAAAACTTACGGGTTGAACGTCGCCATTTTCGTGTTCAATTGATATGTGAGTTGAATTTGTATTTTGTTGCGATGATGCAACATGTTTCTTCAACTCTTCATTTTCCTTCAGTAATCGCAATATTTCTCGTTTTTGTTGCTCAATTATTTCCTGCAAAATTTCAAAGTACTGCCACATCGCACAAGAGGGCGCCGACTAAACCACAGAGAATACCTAGTCTCATTTATTATCACTAGAAAATATCAAAACAATTTGTCGTCAACATTAAATAATATCATAATGGCGCATTAAATACCAAGCTCAAAAATCCAGAACTCAAAAACGACTTATTCAGAGAAGAAGAGCGAATGTTGCTAACCTGCTGGTTTTGCTGAACATTTACGTCGACAGACTGTGCATTTTTCCACCGATTTGGTAAACTGCAAACAATGATAACCTTAGAAAGTCGGCTGAATTGGCAAATTATCGCACATTTCAATAGAACATAAATCATAAGTTCAGCTACCTTCATTTCTTCAATGATTTTTGCATCAGAAACTGAAAAAATTGTGCCTTTTGGGCAATGACTGATAATTTTTCGTGAAATCATGTAGAATTATGAAAAGACACCTCAGCGTTTGAAGCTTCCTTCGTGATATTAACCCTTCACTGAATTCAACAGCGATTAAACACAAAAGCAAAGCAATCACAAACTTCTTTCTACGTTCAGTAACTGTCCAAACATCGTCATAATGCTTCAGATCAGCGCCACTTTCGTTCAGCGAATCACCACTCCTTACTGGCATCGCAGTCGCAGTCGAAATATCATTATCGTTACCAACATCAATCAAAGTCGGCTTTACAACACCAATGTTAGCTGCTGTACCGTATGAAGATCGCCCCGAGTATCTCGGATTTGTTCTGAAGGATGTGAAATGATTGAAATATACATTGATGCGATTCACAATATCCGTTCGAATTGGAAGTCGTTTCATAAATTGAATGTGATGAAATTGCGGGAATTCAGCAATACTTCTCATCAGTCATACATGAAAATTTCCGAAACCGCAAGAGAAATTTTTATGACGAGTTCTCGCCTCGCCTTGAAAATTCATCTCAACAAAGGAACTGCCGAGTAAGCAGTCAGTCTGGTGAAATAATTTTGAGATGAAACGTTATAATCAATCCCGGTGCCTCTTAAACGTGGCGACACACGGTGTTCACTCTTAACACGCTTCAGT